TCTTCTTCTCTGATTCTTCTTGCTTGGATCTTGCTGAAGCACTTTTCTTGGAGGAGTTTCTTGGAGGAGATGGATCAAATGGGCGCTCCCTTTCTAATCAACAGCTCTTCGCTCTTGTTATGCATATAATTCCGGCGCCATGGAGAAGGTACAGAAGGGAATTTCTCTTCTTCTCTGATTCTTCTTGCTTGGATCTTGCTGAAGCACTTTTCTTGGAGGAGTTTCTTGGAGGAGATGGATCAAATGGGCGCTCACTTTCTAATCAACAGCTCTTCACTCTTGTTATGCATATAATTCCGGCGCCATGGAGAAGGTACAGAAGGGAATTGCTCTTCTTCTCTGATTCTTCTTGCTTGGATCTTGCTGAAGCACTTTTCTTGGAGGAGTTTCTTGGAGGAGATGGATCAAATGGGCGCTCCCTTTCTAATCAACAGCTCTTCACTCTTGTTATGCATATAATTCCGGCACCATGGAGAAGGTACAGAAGGGAATTGCTCTTCTTCTCTGATTCTTCTTGCTTGGATCTTGCTGAAGCACTTTTCTTGGAGGAGATGGATCAAATGGGCGCTCCCTTTCTAATCAACAGCTCTTCACTCTTGTTATGCATATAATTCCGGCGCCATGGAGAAGGTACAGAAGGGAATTGCTCTTCTTCTCTGATTCTTCTTGCTTGGATCTTGCTGAAGCACTTTTCTTGGAGGAGTTTCTTGGAGGAGTTTCTTGGAGGAGATGGATCAAATGGGCGCTCCCTTTCTAATCAACAGCTCTTCACTCTTGTTATGCATATAATTCCGGCGCCAGTCGCCACTTATAATTCGTTTTTCCAGTGTAGTAGTGTTTATTTATTATTCCGGTCGCATAATGTACATATTTTACTATTGTAACTTTATTATTACATTTTATGACGTACCATTATAATTAGACCTACGACTAGTTTACAAACAAAGTGAGATATGAATTTTATACGTAACTTACCAGTACTAATTATGTTATCACCGGATATATATTATAAAAAAGCTACGTTCCATGCATTTTCATCTTCTCCAAAAATTTAAAATATAGTCTTCATCTTAGGAATGACAATGGGCAGGTCTGGGGAGGTTTATTCGATATCCATACCCTCCCCGTGGCAGGTCGGAACAATAATCTCGATATCCATACCCGCCTTGTGACAGATCAGATAACTTATCACACGGCGTGGGTCGGGACAGGTAGACCCAATGAGTATGTAGTTTAAAAGGAAAATATTAAAAATATTCAAATTTCTCATTAAATATCCAAGAAACCAACTATGATAATTGTAGTTAAATTATTCAAACAATTGGCATTCCCACCTATATATTTACAACTTTATTATATCTAAAATATGAAGTGATAAACGTAAAATTATAAGTAATTTGAATAAAATTACACGTAATTTATTTAGGCAACGACGGATCAAGAATGGGACAGGTCAGGATAGGTCAAGTTGAGGAGAGTACTCATGTCCGTCCTGCATCAAAACAAGTCAAACAGGTTGGATAATACGGGTTAGGTCAAAATTGTAATCCCTATTTTATATGTCGTGTTGACCAAATACCTTTCACAAATTTATTCGATTTCATAGCTTGTTTTTACTTAACTCAAACTTGAAAAAAACCCTTCAAAACTTGCAGTTATAACTAGTGGCAGACCCAGGAATTACATCAAGGATATTCAACAATAAAACAAAATTAACAAGAATTGTCAAATAGTCTTCAATTCAAATACCACCATTAATAAATCAAAATTTTACAAAGGAATTTTGTTCTAAAATTGAATCAATGTTTGTCAGTTGGCAAACTTATCACCAACCTAGGTCCGCCCCTGGTTATAACCGTGTATGGATCGTTTAACCAATGACATGACTACCGATACAACCAAACTCAACTGGTATCGAATACAAAGTTGACCGACTGAAATACCCCAATACAAACAGAGCGTCAATACAGTCAAAACAACAAAAATAATAGTCCACCCGATATGATCGATTTTCGGTCCCGAAACAAAATGACGTCGTTATATTGAATTTAATTAATACGTGGCATGTCATGCATGCATGGAAACAATTACATGCAGAAGAAGTGCCAGAAAAGAAATTGGAGAATTTGATGATTATATATGGGATACCTTCATGGAAGAAAAAGACAAAGGATTCTATTGGAATTTGGACGTGCATGCAAACTTTTTTTTATGGCTTTTGCTTGGATCAAGTTTGTGGTCTGGTTGACCATGGGCCAATTTGAGATATGGGCTGCTATCCGTTATATTTTGTAGCCATTTTGGGGTTTGATTGAACGGCTGCCCTAGCTCACCATTCAGTAAAACTAAAATTGTCACTAGTGATGGAAATGGGTTGGGGCGGGGAGCTCAATACTCATGCCCCGCCCCACGCTAGTACGGGGCGGGGCGGATAATACTCGCGCGGGTACGGGGCTGGGCGGGTCGACCCACTCTTACATGTTATTTGAGAAAAATACACGCACAATTTTATTTTTTATGATAAAACAAAGGGGGGAAACTTGATGGATGAATAATAGTGATAATAATAAGTAATTGAGTCTATTTAGTTGAAAAATCAAGTCTAACTAGTTGAATAAAAGCCTAAATTGGAGATATATGAATGGATGGGGTAAAAAATTGACCTAGAACGAGCTAAGAATGGGGCGGGGCGGGGCAGGGCAGGTCGAAAGTTGATACTCATCCCCCCGCCTCACGCTAATGCGGGTCGGGTAATACCCGCCCCATCGCGGGCTAGGTTGGGTATTACCCAGCGAGGCAGGTTCAAATTGCCATCCCTAATTGTCAAAAACATTCGAATAATTAAGAAGTATCATTTCTAGCACCAACACATATGTGTTACGAGTTAGTACAATGTATAAGAGTATCATATCATTAGTATCATGATGTTTTATGTTGATCGTAACGATTGATTGAATGATGGTCAAACTTTATTTTATTGTCAATGAGGTAGGTTTCAAGTAGGTGTCACATCAACACGTGTAATATATATATTTTTTTATCTTGTTGAAATTTATTTTCCAATTAATAAAATAATTGTATCCTAAAATTAGATTGCCAAATAAAAACATCATATCCATTCTTCCGGCGTCTTCGTCAACCTCCTCTCTAATCATCTTTTTTTCTTCGACGACCTTCCTTTTACTTCCCGCTCTCTTGGCACCGACAATCTACTCTAGATCTAGCGGCAGGGAGTTCTACCCCCTGTCCGGGGATACAAATCGAGAAACCTCACATTCTCTTCCTGCTTACACCTAACAATTATCTTATACCATATTGATTAATTATAAGATAATTATTGCTTTCGTAAGGTCAAGAATATTATCATAATTAACTTAATTTAAGACGAAACTCATTAATTTTGATTTTTAAGCCCAATCAAACGAGCATGTGCATGAGTCAATTAAGACATGACATTTCGTCAAGAAATCATGTAAAGTTCACGCTTCATGCGTGTCGAAAGAGTACATTAAATCACGCGAAGTCATAGCCGCGAGATAAGAGAGTCATGGACATGGTGGTGTTGGTAAACCTCCCATTCTCTTCCGGATCCAAACCCTTACATTAATATACTTATGGGGTGAAAGAAATCTTTAGCCTCTTACACAATAAGGATTACCTTTACCTTTGACATTACCTCGTGGATGAATTTGTACCTGAACAAACTAGTTTAATGTATAAAGAATAAATAAATCTGATGGTTCGATTCGCTAAGAAATAAAAACTGATATTGACTATTTTTCGATTGATATTAACTATTGTACAAATTAATTATAAGTACTAAAATCATCTAAAGAAGCACCTTTCTGCCAAACCCATATCCTAATAAACATGTACAATATCACAATTCACAACACAATTCTGAGTAGATTATTTATAACCAAATTCCAAGAGATGGACCAAGAGCATCATTACTTGAATTGCCATCCAATGTGGTCTGCAGATTTAACAGACACATTCCAAACAAGTGAAATTAAAGCTTGATCATCGATCAGTACGTAGTTGGAATCCAGGGAGAGTGAGAGAGCAGGCCAGCTGAAAGGGAATGTTGTGACTGTGGTGCTTCAGTTAGTCACATCCCATAGCTAGATATCCAAGTTTTTAATTATTGCATGCATAATACATATCTCACTCGACAAATTAGATTAGATCCCACCCTATCTAAGAAACAAACTTGTCTCGTCAACCAAACATAATCACACCCCACACCCGCCTGCCTGGCCCTCCAACTGCATGCCTTTAGGGCTTTACTATCCATGATTGCTTTTCCAGATCTTGAGAACGACCTTAGCCCCTTTTGTCTCCAAGTGGCTAGTCCTGTCTGCCACGTGTGCTTGGTCCATGGATGTTGGTTTACCATCACTTCAATTCCCTGCCACATTTTCCTCTTCTTCAACATGAGAGAAGAAAAAACTTCTTGTTGGTTTGGTGCATATGCTGTTTTACAGGAAGATTCATTATACGCTTGCTTTTCAGTGTATACCAATCATTTTTATCAGAGTTATCACTCTCTTACTCAAGTAAGGTTCATTATACGCTTTCTTTTTAGATGTGTACCAATAATTTTTAGTAGATCCAGTTGTACGTCACTGAAATTTGAGTCGATTAAACGTAGCAATTGTCCGTTCGTTTTTGTTTGTTGCTGTATCTAAGATGCTCAAATAAGCAAAAGCGCTAACTCATCCCAAAACTCTTCATGCAAAACCCGCTTAAACCTGTCCGACAATACTTACTGCTAAAGACACTTTCTTTTCTTTAGGTGAGTGGAACATTCATTGTGAAGATGAACAATGAAATGCAAATGAAAGAAATTATTATCATGTCAATTAGTTAAGCTAATCTGTGAATGACATGCTGATAGTGAATCAAAGTTGAGTCACCATGGTTGTTTGAATTGAATGACCACTAATCAAAGCTATACATATAATATAAATGCTGTCAAATATGCAAAAAGGTTGAGGGGCCACATAAATCTTGAAACAGGGGAGGGTTTTAGACTTTAGTAGACGGATCTTATCGTTTTGAGGGGGCAGGGCAGATCAGATACCCTTTGGGTCATCTCATTCTCATCTTCTATATATGAATATGATTAGACACGTTTGGATGTTGACACATTACTCAGTCACGTTGAGCGGTGCTTTGTGGAGCAGGGGTTTCTGTACAAGATAAGGGTATTACTTGAGCCTTGATTGACAGGCGATGATAGCCAGCCTCTGATTATGAGTGGGGATCAAGGAAGCTAATTGGCCGAAACAAGGGAGGGAAGGAGGGCATGGCCTATGGGCCTTCGAGTTGGAAGTGAAAGGGGTGCCATGTGATAACCCACGTGGGCTTCAACTCACAAGTGGGCCTCCATTGTTGACAAGGCCCTCCTATTGTACATCACCCGGGCCCCACAACGTATATGTGTACTGTTGATGGACAAGTCACAAGTGTCAAGTGTGTGTAGTATATATATTATCATTTTGGAAGAAAGGGTTCCTTAATTAACTAATGAATGATCCCCAAACCACCACAAACCCAGGGAATCCCAACTAGCGAAATGGGTAACACTACTGGAAGCTCAAATGAAGGAGGGTGGAGGTGGAAGTGGAAGAGAATGGTGAGGCAGCAGAAAGGCAAGCTGTACGTTATGAGGGTATGCATCACCATGCTCCTTTGCTGGCACAAATACAACTACTCCTGAATCCTGATCATCATCAAACATGGCTAACCTAGCTAGCTACTTCTCTGCCTGCATGTGCATTTGTAGAAATGGTGCTAGCTAGCTGGATATATAGTTTGTTTTTCAAGTTCATAGACTTGACTAGAGGTTTTGTCTCTGTTGTTGCTTCCTCAACTAGTAGAGGACCTTTGTATTTCACCAGACCAGGCACTACTTTGCTTATCATCCTCATCTGCAACTGCAATAAAAACAAATTATGAAACAATTTCGTTATATCACTGCTTAGGGAATGCTATGTTATACCACTTTTGTGTTCTTAATGTTCCTAAACAACCAAGGCAAGCTTCTAATTATATTGTTAGATGATGTTACAGACAACAAACTCTAGGTAATAAGTTAGAGCTTGTCTTCTTTTCTTGTTGTACCACTTTGTGTGTTCCTTTCGGTCCTTGTACGTGGTACCGATTGAGACACTGCAGCCTTGTACGTGTGGTTTGGTTTCCCAATATTATATATTCCTATTTTGTCGACTAAGATTGGGAGTACGCAAATCATATATGGAGTTGGAGTGGATGGAGACAACAGTGAGCTTTCTTTATAGATTTAATATATGGTTCAACAGTCGAAGCAGCAGGCATGTTTCCAAGTTCAGCTGGTTGGTATCTATAACATTAATGGAACCATAATATATTATCTAACATGAGGATTTTTTTTGAGTTAATGGAGACAGTGGAGACAAAGGTAGGGCTTGGGATTTTTAGAGATAAGCTGTGGTGGGGAAACCCTCTCTCACAAAACTATAAATGTTCCTCATTAGTTTCCAGGTGGCTGTTGTGTCCAAGAGGACACACCTACCTTTCTTCTTCTTCTTCTCCCCCCAGGCCCCCCTGCTCTTGTATTCATCCATGTAGGGCCTCGACTTTACTCTCTCTCTCTCTCTCTAGGATTCAGCAGAAAGGTCTAATATATATATATATATGTAACGAACTGACCTTGATAGTTGGCAGTTGCTACCTGTTATAACTTGTAAACATACATACATACATACACTCCCAGCTCCAAAAAATCTCTTTCTGGTTCTGACTTCTGAGTTGTTCTGGGAAACTAAAGCAGTCTTCTTTCTTGTTCTTAATTTCTGTTTTTAATCAATCATGAAGGGGAGGCATTGCTTGGGATGGATGAGACCGCGGGGGCTGCAGAAGCAGCTGCTTCCAACATTGCTGTCATGGCGAAGGGCGGCGAGGGAGCAGCGGACTCGCCTCTACATCATCTGGAAATGCTCCCTCATCCTCCTCACTTGGGACTCCGATCACGACGACTAACTCAGCGGCTTCCCAGCCTTTCACCTCCATTCCATCTGATGTTCATCACCGGAGAGCCAGAGCAGATGGGAACAACAATTACGTTTCGGTCGATCTGCAGAAGTTCGTTCATGCGTGTATAACATACGTATTAAGCATGCATATGATATGTGCATAGAATACAATACGCATGCATTTATCGTATAGCAGGAATTCCTTGCTATATCAGTGCACTTGTATTTTGACGAATGATGGAAACCAAAATTTGATACATTGAGTTTACATATATTGATACGCTGCAATGAACTTGCTTCTTTCTTTTGCTTAGTTTAGGGCACAGGACAATACAACTTGAATCCATCATTCTCTAGATTATCGTTGCCTCAAATAAATTACCGGACCAAAACCAACACTCTGCTTAGTCAACTATGTTATGATGTCTTGCTTCTATAATGTTCTGCTGCAGCAGCATCAGCACTTCCTCCTAATAGCCTCGGGGTACTCGAGTCGTGGTCCCATTTCCTCGGGGTTTGCCCGGACTTCCCCTGCCCTGCCTGTGGAATTAATTTTACCAAATCGTAAACAAACACGAAAAGGAGACGAATGAGCTAACAGAACTATGTTCAATTTCCAAACCGGGATTGACTTGGACCACTTACAGCTCCTTTGTTGGCTGCTATTAGCCTCCGACTTGATGGAGCTCGAGCCACTGACGATGCAGCTGCAGCAGCAGCCACGCGAATTCTGCAGACAAGGGAAAACATGGAAAAAAGTTCCAGTTCAAAGTACAGCACAAACGCAACTGGAACATTTTGGATTGATGGTTTTCGACATGAAAAACTGGAAGATAGACGGAAACAGGAAGGATTAAATTTGAGCAAAAGCCATCCGACAAGCAAACGGAATTATGGTTTATGTAAGTCATTAGGTTCATATAAGTTTTTTGGCTTCCAATAAACAATTAGGAAGATTAATGTTGATACCTTTTATGAACATCAACGTATTCATCTGTTTCGTCCACAATCTCCTCCTGCAAAAGTCAGCGAGATCACATATATGGTTTAAGTAAATAACGGCCAACTGAAACCAACAGTTACAGAGGTAGCTAGTTGGTCAATGAAGGGTTGGGCCTTTAGTCATGTGTACCTGCAAGAGTTCTTCAAACACATCCTCTAAAGTGATGATACCAATAACTTCACCATCCTCTATATCTTGATCGGATTGTTGAGGCAATCCGTACCCTGCCCTTGCACTTGCAAACCTATCAATATCCACAATAACAGTTCCGGGTGTTTCGTCCACCTTGAACAGCAAAGGAGTCGCTAGCTGATCTTTCCCTATTGCTATGTTTTCTTCTTGTTTCTCAGTTTTGCTTTTCCCTTTGGCCCGAACTACAGCTGCCATATGGCTACTTCCCTTCTGAAACTCGTTTAGTATATCATACAGTGGCATATCTGAAGGTACCCTGGAAATGGAAAGGTTAATCGTCATGAGTGAATCTCTTTTGAATACTCATAGCAAGAAAATATAAAGGAGACACATGAGAGGAATAGATCAAACAGATATTACCGTGGAATTCTTCGGATTGAAACAGCACTGACAGGGGTCTCTGTTTCAGGTCTTACTGTGAGAAGACTTTTCACCTAGTACCGTGCATAGTAAGAGGTTAATTACAAAGATTATGATTGTCAGAAGGTAAAATTTCAAAGTTCAAGCTTTTGTTGAAAGCTCGCTCACCAGGAGAAGTCCAATGACATTCTTTGGGTTTCCAGAATAGACAGGAACTCTGCTGTGTCCTCTAGCCAGAACCTTCCCCATTGCCTCCCTGCATGTATATCAGCATTTCCGGGGATCAAGCAGAGTAATGCACGTCAAATGAAGGATGGAAAAGAGGAGAGGATATAGATGTCGCACAGAAACTGAGATTAATTACCAGTCCAACTTGGAGTTGACATCTAAGGAGAAAGTTGATTCTATAGGTGTCATAGCCTCTTCAGCAGTCTGTTAAAAAAAAATTCAAAAAGAGAATAAAATGGCATTAGTTCGATATCTTGAGATTTCACGACCAGAAGAATCCGAAAAGAAGAATACATTCTTCTGCTAATCGGACACTAAGAGCAACTCGGGACAATAATATTGTGTCATTAGCCTCTTGAACAGAATATGCTACATTCAGGGCATAACTGGTAACTGAAAATTTTGCCTTTAAATCCAAAATAACTTGAGTAGACAAGAAGAACCAAGATACATGCTTTCTTCACAAAAAACTTTGAGTTGATACTTGATGTTACCTTCTCGGTTAAATCTAACGCTCCAGCGATGATGGTTGTCTCATCATGTGTAAGTTCTCCTCCTTTCCCAGCCTAGATAGACAGAATAATTAGTGAGTTATGCAGATTAAAGGTCGAGAAAAAGCTATTATCTTTCAGCAGCTTTGATGTATAACTGTAAAGCTAATATTTCCTACCTCCTGGCTGTGTATGTTAACAAGGGCTTTCAGCTGAGCCCGCCTAAATAGTGCTTCATTATGCCCCAACACACAGTCCAAAATCTGAATACAGAAAACACAAAATTTGAAGGCAAAATGAGGCCGTGGAGACCAGAGAGATTCCTACTACTATACAGCTAATTATGCACCTTTTTCATATGCTACTGGAAGCTAAGCATTCATCCCGAGTAGTTTGGAATGCTGCAAACTTCATTGATAATGGATAAAGAAGAACTACAAAAGCATCATTGGTCATGTTACCTTTCCGATGGGAAATGCTATGGGATAGCAAATGATCATCAGAACACGCACAAGCCAAGCTAGATTGGCACCCACGGCGAGACCATATCTGGTGCATATTGCTTGTGGAATAACCTACTCCCACATAAGAAGCCAATTCCTAATTCAGGCCAAACATAATTCCATGATGGAAACCATTAAAGTAAAAAGAGCTCAGCCCAAAAAAGGCTCACTCAACATTAAGAAGGGGGAAAAAAAAGCATATATACCTCCCCAAAGAACAGAACAAACGTCACTGAGAGTATAATTGCAACGTATTGGTTGAACATCTTGTCCAAGTATATAGGTAGTGCCTGCAATTTCGTAGTGGGAAATGGACAATTGTTAATTCAATCAAGCTAACAGACTTCTAGAGTCGACACAACAAGGCAATTCTGCGGACTAGGAATCGAAATGAGAAATCCAAATCTCTGGCTAGTTGGAAGTGTTCTATCTAATTCTAACAGAGGAATTGAAGAGGCGAGGGGAGGGGAGGGAATCCTGCTGTAAATTACCTCCATCGCACCGGCATTGCAGAGAAGTAGAGTCACCAGAAGTTGATGCTGCTTCTGAACCACAGGAAGTATACCCGCTACACCGATTAGGAAAAGCAAATTGAGAAACAAATTCACGAATCGAGCGGTGAAATTGGAAACGAATCGGAGGCCAGCGGGAAGCAAGAAGAAGGAGAAGAGAAGAGAAAGTCAGTCAAAAGCACGGAGGGAGGGGGCAGAAGCGTCGAGCAAACCTGCTTGTTTCTTCTCGGCGGAGGTACCGCTGCGCTGGAGGATTTCGAGGTCGACGAGACTGAGGGACATGAGGCCGAGAGTGAGGCCGGACATGATTCCGGCGAAGATGACGAGGAAGCAGGATATTCCGGCGTAGACGAACCAGGTGACGGTTCCGTAAGGTATCTCGTCGCCGGTCTCCGATTGGGCCATGGTGGAGACCATCCTCGTCGCGATCACCGCGTAGAGAGGATGCATCTCTAAAGATTTTGCTGCGGGAGGCGGCGTTTGACAATTCTTGCGACTAGATCCCTAACCTTTCAGTTTCCAGTGTAGTCTTGCGTTTTGGTTGCGTTCGTCGGCGCGGAGGAGAGAAGACTCCGGATGAGGTCAGCCGGCGGTGGAGACGAAGGAGAGAGAATATTACAAGGATGGATGATTGGATTCAGTCCAGTATTTTAGCAGCCTAAGGGCACGTGGCCGACTGCAGGGGCGGGGATTAACATATTAAAAAAATAAAATAAAAATGAGTTTAATTAACTAGATTGAGGTCCCGCTCTTTTACGGAAGAAATTAGTTTATAACTTTATCTATAAAAAAAAAGAAATTAGTTTATAACTGAAAATTCAATAATTTATGTTTTGAGTGATAGTGAGATAATTAGATATTTTCATAAGCTCTTTTATATGAAAATTACTCTATCCAATATTATTTTAACTCTACAATCTATGCACTTAAAATATTTGTGAATTACAAATTCCCAATATTTCATTTTTCTCAAATGATAATATCGGATCAACCTCTTGTAGAATTATTAGCAACTAGATGTGTTTACCCGCACTCTACTGCGGGAAGTAGTGTTTATTTTTTCACTTATAAGCAAGGTTCTCAATCCGGTCGATCAAATAGGTCTATGGTTAATGGTCTGATCGTTTTAGGTTGAATGTATGGAAAATTGTTATATTGTTTATACATTTATAAATTATATTAAATAAAATTTAATATATAGTTAATAATATGTAACTTTATAAAATCAATATTCAAATTTTCAACTTAGAATTTAAAAATATGGTTAAGCAAAAGAAAAACTGAAAAAGATGCCCATTTCTCAAATTAACGGGAAAACGACGTTGTATGCCTTCGACCTGAGAACCTTGCAGCAAGTCGACCCATGGGTTGATCCATTTTCATCCTGATCTGGTGAAAAAAACTGGCGCCGCACACGAAACGATGTGGTTCTTGTTGCCCTATCTCTCATTCCACACATAAACGATGCAGTTGTTGTTACCCAATTATGTGTCTGCAATTCACTAGTTTTTTACCCGCCCGTTGGGCGTTGTATTTTGTTTGGTTATTTTATAATTCCTTATAGTATTCTAATTGTTATTATTATATATATATTTGTTAAGGTAATATACATGGAATTGTAAATCCCATTTACCTTATTTCAAATATTATTTCATACCTTTATACCTTTTGTTTATTTATGAACATTTTAATTTTATTAACTGAGCTCTTTGTAGACTGTTCTTTATTGATTTAGAATTTTTTTTATCTAACTCGCCCTTTAATATTATAAACATAAGAGTTATTCATTCTTTAGCACACAATTGTGATAAAGAAGTTAAAAAATTTATAGCCATAAAAGAAGAAGTTAGAATAAGAAAATATGCTTCAATCAATAAAAAAAAATAAGCGAAGAGCTTTTTTCCCCTCTTCCTTCTCATATGTCGGTATATGATAATAGAGAATATTCCGATCTAAATCCCATGAATATCGTGTATTATCACTTACACATACAATTTTGGAATAATGCGGAAACTCATTAGCATTCACGTCCATCAATCTTCCACGTACTCGTTTAATTACTTTGAAATGTTCTAGCAAAACCAACCACAAACAAAACTATCAGTTGTCACTAACTTATTAAAGCAATATTTTTAGCAAATTAAACTGCATATACTTAAACACAATTTATATTTTGTAGAGAGCTACATATCTCCTGCAGAAAAGAATTTTGATTTTTTACATAACAACAACATTGACAAATAATGAAAGGAGCAGTTTTCAATACAACTCAACTCATTTTATCATGCAGATTCCTCATTCGTGAACTAAATATATGCATCAACCCAAATAGTAGTTTGTAAGAAAACAATCATGTCAAAATCAGGTTTTAGTTAGGGATTCAATGCGGGAAAATTCACCTTTAAAAAAAACGTCAAAATAGAAAACCGAGAAACCACCATCATCATTTCTTTCTTCTTCGCGACCTTTATAAAACCCTAATTATGTTCCCTTCTATTTATAACCTCTTTGCTACCTACTAATTACTAAAATACAGATCTGCTAGCTAGTAGCATGTCAATCATGAACATAAAATATAATAAACAACCATCACAACTCTGATTTTCATTTCAACATTCAAGAAATCAGGTTGCAATAGGTATTCAAGAAAAATGATCAATTATTCAACCAAAGGAGGTATGCCCTAAGACCAACCAATTAACTCTTCTAATTATATTTTATATATTTAAATAAAAGTATATGGTGACCCTTCTCCGTGAAAAACAAAGAAGAAATACATTCACTCATGGAGAGTGGGAAAATTTATCATCCAGCAGTTGTAATTTGGAAGAAATTAAGAAAAGAATGGGAAGAAGAGTATAACTTGACCAGTCAACCGCAAACAATAACATTTGCTGAGAAAGTGAGACCAGTTGCCAGCTTCAGATCAAGGAGGAAGAGGTAGCAGTCGACAACCCTCGGCTTGGTTCACCTCATCTTCACAATGATCATATGAACTTTTTCCGTTAACAGACAAAAATATGTTACAACTGCTCATAATTTTGTCATCTAATCTTTGCCTCATGTAACTCCTGCCTCCTATTCTCATACAAAGAAAAATAAATCATATGCATTACCAAAAAAAATTAGCAACTAATAAGAGGGCTTTGTTTATTTTTATGGTGGTTCACATACTTTCTTGATTTCTTATTTTCAAAGTTGGATTTTATTTCTAGTGAGACAATCAAAATGGGGAAATGGACAAAAATAAATTAAAAGTTTGCATTAATAATTAATATGTTTTCATTTAATCGAAATAAATAAGAAGTTTTAAAAAATAATAATTATTGTTCTGTCAAGTTTATATTCAAACATTTTGCTATAAAATTTATACTTATTTTATTTGATAGGTATATACATTAGAAAGAAGTGAGTGTTTGATAGCAAAAAACATATAGCCATATCGTTTATTTCTCAAAGTCGATTGATTATCAAACGCTTATTTTCTCTTAGACCATCGTTTATATTTTGTTTAATCGAAAATTATTATTATTTATGTGTGTGCTTGTTTTTTTTCTTCATCAAAATGTAACTTATTATTAAATTTTAGAATAAATGAGTAGAAAATTTACTTAATCAGATTTAATCAACTTGGGTTAAACAAATACGATATATGTCACTCTCTGTTTCCATCTTTATAGTTTGTTTAATTGAAAAAAAAGATTATTACCTATGTATGTGTTTGTTTATTTAAATGTTTCCTATAAAATTAACTAATTTTAATTTTAGTAAAAATGAGTAGAATTATTAAAAGAAGAGAGATATAACTTCATAAATAGATCAATAAATAGTTTTTTGTTTGTAAGAAATTTTCCACTTTGGCAACTTGTGCATTCACCAAATGCTTATGTGGCAAGAAGTTATTTTTGAATAGCCATAATATTTAGTATAGATAGATAGATAGATAGATATAGATATGATTCTCACCACATACAAAATCATAGTTATGATTCTGGTAAGGCCCTCTGAGGGGCATGACCCACCGAGAACCGAAATCAAATCGAGATGAAGAGGTACTGGTATTTCAATAGTTGTGGATTGCCTCTCTCATCGAAATCATTGGTGTCCGACTGTCGTATGCTGCATTGCTCTATTAGTAAAGATTGTGAATGAAGTCATATTATGTAAGCAAAAAAGGAAACAATTACGGATAACATAGAGACTTAGTAATAATGATTCTCAAATTCAAATTGACGAGGAGCCCAACAACCGACAAAAATAATTAGCCAATAAAACAGGACCGAGTGGTTTAACATTAGTTGATTCTCAGTGAACAATAACTCTTGTTTATATATATTAAAATTTGCAACAATGTACCTGCCTACTTGGTTTATTGTTGCTTAATATTTAAAGTGTACATACAATAAGTAACATGAAAAAATGGGTTGTTGTCTATAGGTCAATGACTATTAACCATTCTACTTACATTTTATTTGAGCTATTAGTGGGCAATTTGAGTATTTGTTCTTCCCCTCTAAAGTCTAAACCTCTCCATTTCGCATCACATTGATGTGTTATTATGAACTTAACATGACTAGGTTGATTTAAGTCCCTTTAGCACATCGAGTAAAATAAAACATTTTGGAAATGACTTATCGATACATGTAGTTTGTCGAACATTGCACATGGAGTTAGTATGGACATTTGTGTCACTACCCATTTACTATGTATAAAGAAATTTGATCGATTGATTAGCCTAGATGATAGAGTCAGTGACTAAATCAATCCACTTAAACATAATTCCACTTAAACATAAATCACTAAGAACTTTTAAAGACTCAAACCGATTATTCAACTTAATCGAACCACAATTGATCAAATGCAACTGGTTGATGTACCACTATGGTGCACAACAAATCATTTGCATATGAGGACATCATTGACGATGTAGTTTTTTCCTTCAAAATATACAAAAAAAAAATGGGTATCATTTGATAGCTCACATTAAATCGGATTTGGCTAAAACTATTAAAATCCATGTTGAAATGAAGAAGGTATGAACCTTTAAAATTGACTAGGAGAAAAGAATGAAGGAAGTGAATGTGACATGCGAAAATTGGAAAAGTCTAATTTGTTCTTCCTCCAATTACTCCGGTGGTTGTAAAAAATTCCAAATAACGAGAAACTTACAAAAGACAAACCCAAAAGTTTAGTGATTTCTTAACTAGTTCCCTATAAACAAATGGAGCATGGGATCCATCCACATGATCAGGAATATTAGTTGGAAGTTTTCAGGAATCAAAATCGCAGCAAATTGCAGCACGGATCCGTGTCTCTTCCATTTCTCACATGAGCTTATAAGCAAGGAAGCAGGCGACCGTACTTATAATAATATCTTTGTGACCTTATAAAAATAACATAAATTAGATCTGCGATATTTAACGGTACTAACGGTTGGACTACGATTAAACCACGATTTTGCTATAAAATGATATATCGTTGACTTTTTCTATACGATTTCATCGACCATGTGACAATGGTGATTGTTGGCGGCGGCGAAGGATCGGAGCTTCCGGATACGGCGGAGCAGCTATGTGATGATTGGTGTTTTCTGGCTCGGCAGAGTGAAATAGGGAGCTGGGCGCGTGGGACAGTAGGGGGTTTTAGCACTCCGGCGAAGAAATTTCCTTTTGGGCTATTTTTTTTCTATGAAGACTTAGCCTGTAGGCTTAGTTGGCCCCATTAGTTTCTTGTATATCTGATGCCAAAGAAGACAGGCCTGATTTCCAGGAACATTATCACTTCATTGAGCCCAATTCCCACTGACCAAAGCCCATACAGAAAATACCGGAGCTGGGCAGATGGACGGCACTCGGACATAAATATTTCTGCGTTATTGTTAGCCAATACATACATGATAGTTGTGTACAATATACATAGCATAGCACTCAAATAGTCAATAAAACAATTAAGAGGAATTTTACAATGCTATATAGTACTGGTGCTATGAGCATTTCTACTATGCTATATAGTATTGGTGCTTTAATGTACAACTCAAAGTTGTACCATAACATTAAATGTATAAGTTTAGGTTGTACCATAAAGCAATTTGTACCATTATGTTATGGTACAAATTTACAACTTGAAGTTGTACCATCACATAAAGGTACAAGTTCAAGTTGTACCATAAAAGAATTTGTACAAAAAGTATAGGTACAATCTAAAGTTGTACCATAACGTAAATATACAATTTTAAATTGTACCATAAAGGCAAAAACCTATAGCACCAATACTATATAGCATTGTAAAATTTCTCCTGGTGCTATATGTTTTTGCCTTTATGGTACAATTTGAAATTCTATATTTAACATTATGGTACAACTTTAGATTATACCTATATTGTTTGTACAAATTCTTTTATGATACAACTTGAACTTGTACCTTTATGTGATGGACAACTTAAAGTTGTAAAGTTGTACAATAACATAATGATACAAATTCTTTTATGGTACAATCTAAACTTATACATTTCATGTTATGATACAACTTTAAGTTGTACATTAAAGCACCAATACTATATAGTATAGTAGAAGTGCTCCTCTTAATAATTCAAGATTAGGGGAAAGAATAACGGGAGTGGGACATGCACGAGGATAAGACTTAAATTAAATGAAAAGGGATTACACATAATACAGATAAGTCGGTTTGCTTCTTCTTTCGTTTTCTTATTGTGGACTAGTTAGTATAACACCTATTTTGTTGTTAGAGGATAACACTAGTCTCTAACCAATAGGAAGTTAGAGTTGTGATGACTTTTTATTAGTTAGGTTGACCTAGAGTAAAATCAAATAGAGGGTATAATTATCATTATGAATATTATATTTAAATAATAATAAATTACATATTTAAATTATTTTTTACCCAAAATTTCGCCGCCGAAATCCGGTCGTCGGTCACTGAAATATGTTATTTTCTCGCGGAAATATGCTCACTATCGCCGGAATCTAATTATTGTGGTCGGAATATGCTAACCGGCATCAGAATCTATTAATCGGGGACAGAATATGCGAGATTTATGGTTTGGTTTCTCATTTTTTTGTATGCCTTTTGTGGTTTGCTTTATCGTATTTCTGGTTTGTTTTAAGTAGTTTCTGGTGTGTTTTCAAAAAATATATGGTTTTGTTTTCCGGCGAGGAAAAACTTGTGTTTGAACACAATGAATGCACCTTTGACTTCTCGAACAACGATAATCACACGGTTCACTCCTCTCCGAACAATGTTCGAACGAGGGTGTTTGATGTTTTTGATGGTTTTTGGGAATAATCTAAGTTACGTTACTCTACTCCTATGGAGGTTCAGTGAGAGCTCCGGAAACTAAGGGCTATAACTAATTTGCAGAGAAAAAGATAAATTTGACATAGTGTGTCAAATGGTTGGTTGTGGAACCCTTTTCCCGTATTCGTTTCTCTTATTTATAGCCACTAGGTGTAACTGCCTTGGTAACCACCGTAGTAACTGCTAGCTGGCCTTTTGCTCCAACCGCCTTAGGGGCTGCTTGTCGCTTGGAGACTAGTTGGTAACCGTTGCCTTGGGGTCTCGTCCCGTCTTGGGGCTGGTTGGTACTTGATGGTCTCGATGTTGGGCCGGGTTGGTGTTAAGTCTTGTCGCCCTGTCATGACTGGATGGGGTTGAGGTTATTTGCCTTAGCCTCCATGATGAAGTCTTGATCGCACCCTCGGCTGCTTGATGACTCCCCACTCTTGTCGTCTTGAGACCGCTACCATCTCATGACACCAAGTCCTCCTCATTAACTTGTTGGTTGTTACCAAGCCATCTCATCGGCTTGATACCTTCCGGCATGCCACCAAGCCCATGTAATCAACTTGACACCCCTTGCTACCAAGCCAGTCCTGGTGGCTTGGTCTCCATACTTAGTTTTTGTAGCCTCGTCAAGTGGTAAGTTGCACCCTGCCGGTTTGGTACCGCGTTAGGGTGCTACCAAGCCCGCCTTGGGACTTTGTCTCCATATGGCCCCATAAGGGCTATACATGGCTGTTTGGTACCTAGTCGGGTGGCCACCTCAGCTAGCCACCATGCCTTAGTCGAATTTATTGTCTTGTTTGCTTGATACCCTGATGTCTGGTTATCAAGTTCGTCTTGGCCCCCTGTTGCATGTCCACCAAGTCAGTCTTACCGGTTTGATAGCCCCTTGGGGTCATGATACCCTGTCACCTTGCTTGGCTGTCAAGCCATTCTTGCCGACTCCGTTGGCTTCATACTTAGCCAAATTCATGCTTTTCATGTCTTGGTACCAAGCCCTACCTTGCCGGCTTGGTACCCTCTTTCTATGGCCATGTCTGGTTATCATGCTTGACACCCTAGTACAAGGACCCCCTGGGATGATGTCATGCTTGACTCCCTTGACGAGACCCCCTTGGATGAGACCCCCTTGAACGAGGTCATGCATGACCCCCCTTGGACGGTTGGATCTCCATACTTAGCCAATTTTCACCTCTGCATCATGCTTGACACCCTAGTGCTTGACCCCCTAGGACGGTGTCATGCATGACCCCCCTTGTGCTTGACCCCCCTGGGATGATGTCATATTTGACCCCCCTTGTGCTATGGGTCTCAACACTTAACCAAATTTTGGCTCTCTTTGCTACCACAGCTAGCTCGCGTCTCGTCATACTCCACTCGCCTTGGATTGTATCATGCTTGACCCCCCTGGGATGGTGTCAAGCATGACCCCCCTTGCGCGATGTCATGCTTGACCCCCCTTGTGCTGTGGGTCTCCACGACTTGGGTGGTTGATGTTGAAGGGCGTCAACGCTCGGCACTTGACCCCCTTTGCGTGATGGGTGGGTGTTTGGTGGGTCAAGTGGTGTGTGTTAAGGTACCTGGTATGAAGCCCAAAATACCATTATTTAGGCCCAACCTAAACCAATTTAATTAACATGGTTAAGTTGGCCTTATAAATCACTACCACTCCTTGAAAATAATCAATGTGGTATTGAGTGATTTTTTAGTGGTAAACAGGTTTGTTTTGTGAGATTTCTGGTATGTTTTAATAGATTTGTGATTTCCAATAGGAGGTTTCTGGTTTGGTTTTTGTGGTTTGCTTTACTGTGTTTGTGGTTCGTATTATGAAGTTTCTGGTGTGCTTTTGAAACTTTTGTGGTTTGCTTTGAGAGGTTTCTGGTATGTTTTAGAGGATTTATAGTCTGCATTAGGAGGTTTCTGGTATGCTTTATGTGGTTTGTTTTATTGCGTTTGTGGTTTGCATTAGGAGGTTTATGGTGTGATTTAGAAATATTTGTGGTTTGCTTTGTGACATTTTTTGTTTGTTTTAGACGATTTGTGGTATGCGCTGGTAAGTTTCTAGTAGACATTTTGTGGTTTGTTTTTGTTAGGAAATTATATTTCCTATAATGATGTGGGCCACATATTTTGACAATTATATTGCTATTTGATTTAGTGGGCTAATTGAAAGTGATCCAATTAAGAGGCCAAAGACTTCTTGCATTGATATGGACTTAAATGGGTGGAAACTCAATACTTGTTTACCTTGGATTTTATGGGAGCCCATGCGAAACTTGTATATAAAGGTGCTAGAGGTTGTTGTCCCCAATACACAAAGACCAACACAACTATCTTCTTCTCCCCATCAGGAAGATCAGAGGTTTCCCGTTAGTGAACTAAGAAGGCTTGGTTGAGGAAGATCACGGTACCTCCCGGGTCGTACTCTTAGAAGTATCGCCCGGCCAAAGATCGTCTTCCAGATTCTGCATTAAGCTCTTGGCGATCAACAACATAACTTCTGGTATTTCGAAAAACCTTTGATATCTGACAAGATGAATTTTCTAAGGAATTACATATGTTAAGTGTAATTCTAACAAGTGGTATCAGAGCCTTTCATCTCTGTTTGATTATTGGGGTTTTAGAATGCATGTTTGGAGCATGTTTGGCTCTATGTTTTGTCCGTGTGATTCCTTTGACATGCTTATGTTTAACGCATGATTGTTGTTTTAATCGAAAGAAAAACTTAGGTTTCTTTTCCTTTTTGTTGAATCCGGAATTGCATAAAATTGCATGCTACTATTCTCAATCCATGGACTTTGATTGTTTAATTTCCCCCCTAATGCGATTGCGAATGGAAGTGGGAATGCATGCAGTTGTTCTTTTCTTTTGGTTCCCAATTAGAAATTTTCGGTAACTAGGAAATTATTACTATTATATTTTGGTCCTTACCGAAAGGTTGAACTATTATGATAATCTTTTGGATTTCGGTTAAGGTTAAGAACAGTAAGGCTTATGAGCAATTAAAAACATTTCCGAGTTCCACCGGATATATGGGCAATATACTGTTGCATTTCATCACTTCCAATCTTCCATATGCAATTCCTACCGGTTGGTGCATTAAGGACTAGTCGGGAGGATTTTTCCGGGAAGAGTGCCGATGATATCCTGTAATTAATCGGCTGCCGGAGATTGGTCGGGTATTACATATTGGTTGGCAGCTCTAATTAAATTACTCGATAAATAAATTATTGCAGTAATGCTGCAGTTTACTCGATTATTGCAAAATGCAGTTACGATAGTAAGGATGGGGAATTAATTGGAATAATAATCCTTTTGCCCATTACCGTAAAGTTGGAATTAAAGTTCGGTGCCGGTTACAGAATGAAAGCTGAGATTTGTTTTTCCACCGGTTGGCAATGCACATATTATTATTTAGTATCTGTTACAAAAATTAAAGAAAGCTTGCTGTGTGTATGGTTAACTTAGTGGCGAGCCAGAAAATTTATATAAGGGTGTCCTCTTTCAAAAATTAAATAAATAATTAAATAATTTTGAATTAGAAAATATCTAACTAATACAAGTTACAACAAAAGTCTACGGCGTGTTACAAAATATACTCAGTGTCTAGACGTCTCAACAAATATCTCCATCTTACTATACAATCATTCACAAACTGATCATTTAATCAATTTCGAAACTTGTTCTTAAAGTTTTTTTTCCTGTAATGAGCAGATTCTATTAAGAGCTTTCTCCTGACCAAATCAACACAAGAGTTTCGAAAAAATACAGAGGCTTAAAGACCACCCTCCTCATACAAATAGAGATACCATAAAGCTAACCACCTACAAAACCCTACCACAACTAGTGGATGACTGAAGCTGGGTAGCAAACTCGGGATGCCCACACGCATAGAGTCGAATCTCATCTCTGATCAATTCTATAAGCACTTGAGCTGGACGAGGTGCCTCTCCAAATACTCCTCTACATCTTTCCTTCCACACACCACAAATGCACCAGCTCCACACATAGCTTTCAACTAATCCATTGCTACCATGATTCCTAATACAGTTGATCATGAACTGCAACATAGCAGACCAGTCGTTGTGAACCTGCATTTTGTACCTCAACACACCAACGACCACATCCTTAACATATTGACACTGACAGAAAAGATGAGAACGACATTCATCAGCCAGAGAGCACAAGGGACAGGCACTATCAGATATCAATCCCCAGCTTTTAAGCTTGTCTCGGGTATTGATTCTGTCTAACACAATCAACTAGATCAGTATACTGTTCCTGGGTAACATAAACTTATTCCACACTACTTTCCACCATTCTGCCTTGGGATGCTTCTTTCTGATTGACTCCCAAACCACAGACACAGAGTACTTGTCCAACTGCTTACCTTGCCATGTGACAGACCCCCTGCTCAACCTCCATTCTGTATTGTAGCCAAGGGCGCATTTTCAAAATCTGTTTCCATATCCATGAACCACTAGAGGATACTCGAACTTCCCAAAATGAAGTCCCCCGTAGATGATATCCATTGATCCAGGCCACCCAGAAACTCCCCCCTTGCAGGAGAAGTAACCAAATCAGTCTCGCCATTGCTGCTATGTTCCAGGTCACAAGGTTTTTCAACCCCAGACCCCCTTCCTTCTTTGGAAACGCCAAGATGTCCCAATCTACCTTAGCACGTCCCTGTTTATCACCATGCTAAATGAAATCAGAACATATTTTCTGTATGTCTTTCAAGACTTTCTTGGGGATCAGGAAAATGGCCATCCAATAATGCACTAAAGAATAAAGAACTGAATCCACCAGTTGCAATCTCCAGCATAAGACAATTTATTAGCTCTCTAGGTTCTTATTCTAGCTGTAATCTTGTCCAGTGAGACAGAACATTCACGGCTGGACAATTTTCCAAATGTCAGGGGTAACCCCAAGTACCTAACAGGTAACCTTCCTTCTTTGAAACCAGAAACTTCAAGAGCATTATCTTTAAACAAGTGAGCATACCCTCCAAAAAATACCTCGCACTTTTCAGGGTTGCATTGCAGCCCAGATACGGTGTAGAACTCCTCTAGAATAGTCCTCAGTTCCTTTAGAGCAGTGCCAGACCCCTCAGAGAAGATCAGGAGATCATCTGCGAAGCAGAGATGGGTCAACCCAATCCTCTTACACTGTGGATGATATGGTAGGGTTCCATTTAAAGCTGCTGCATTCAGTAAACCAGTTAGAGGCTCCATGGCAATTGTGAACAGATAGGGAGATAGAGGATCTCCCTGTCTGACGCTCAATTTTTCGTGCTCTTGCTACAGTTAAGCGATCCTCTTCGGATAATTCGTCCACCCTTTTGCTGCAGAGAAGAAGCCAAATAAACTCCCCTGCACTGTAATGCTAAAAGTAGCTGAACTTAGGCAAACCTCAATCCACTGCAGAAAGTTCAAGGGAAAACCCATCTTCCTCATCACACACATCAAATAACTCCATTCAACCGAATCAAATGCCTTTTTTAAGTCGACCTTCACAGCATATCTAGAAGAAACCTTGCTATTATGATAGTTGTGGACTATCTCCTGTGCCATCAAAATATTCTCAACAATACTGCGCCCCTGGATAAAAGCAGACTGATTCCTACTAATAACTGTTGGCAGCACTGTTTTAAGTCTATTTGCTATAACCTTGGCAATAATTTTGTATATCACGTTGATACAAGCAATTGGTCTAAAGTAATTCAACTGGTCTGCATTTGGTTTTTTAGGAATCAAAGTCAGTGAAGCAGAATTCATACCTCTTGGCAGAGAGCAATCATCAAAGAATTGCTTCACCCGTTCCACTATCCTTGGTCCAACTGTCCCCCAACTCTTCTGATAGAAGTTCGCATTCCATCCATCAGGGCCAGGAGCTTTTGAAGGATCCATCTCAAATAGGGCTGTATGGATTTCTTGATCAGTAACCACATCACATAGCTTAAGTTGATCTAAGTCACTGAGCTTACTGGTGATACATTGTTCAATCACAAATTCGTTCACCTGAACTTCAGAGTTAACCCTTCCAAACAAGTTCTTATAATAGACAATAGCCTCATCCGCAATATCCTGTATGTCAGTCAGCACCTCTCCTTCTGAGGAGATGAGTTTCCTGATCTGTTTTCTTGCTGTTCTGATTTTTGCTGAATTGTGAAAATAGGATGAGTTTTGGTCCCCCAGATTTAACCAACCAATCCTAGACCGCTGTCTGAAGAATGATTCCTCAGCCTGCTTCAGTTTGACATATTCTTCTGTAAGTAGAGTGACCTCAGCAAAACGCTGAACTGATGGGTCTTCAAGAGCTAATAGCTGTGCTGCCTTCATTTGAGCTTCCTTTGTTCTTGCCCTTTCAGTGTTGTCCCAAAATTCTTCTCTACTGAGTTTTCGAAGATTCTGTTTCAACAGATACAAACTTTGTTTAATGCCAAATAAGCCTCTCCCTCGAACTTCAGCCTGCCAGCTCTCCCTTAGCATAGTCAAATTCATGCTTTAACCACATATCATAAAATCTGTAAGGTTTTGGGAAGCTTTTTGTTGGCAACCTAGGTGTAATAAGAATCCCACTGTGCTCTGAAAAATCAGGGGTTAGATACTCTATCACTGAGTCTAGGAACTTCTGCAGCCAATCAACATTGATCATGAGTCTGTCCAGTTTTCTAGCTATTGGATTCCCCTGCTGCTGATTGGCCCAAGTGAAAAGCGGTCATGTGGCTGTGTGATCAAATTTCTCCATCTGCCTTACCCAATCACGAAAGTCTATGATACTAGGAGAGATTGCCACTTCATTTGATGCTTCAGATGGATGGAGGATTGCATTAAAATCACCCCCCACCATCCAAGGAAATCCCTGAATTTT